ACTAACCAACCACACACACACACACATACTAACCAACCACACACACACTAATCTTTTATGTTCCTTTATTAACATTGTTTAATCATGTCAGGATTTGTCATTACCTGATTGATCTACAGACCCCTTGATGAATTACGAGGTGCTGTCAGAAGCTGCTTAAGGCTGAAAGATGAGAGGCCAAGCCCTGCACTGGCCAAAAGCAAGGCAAGAGGCAGGGTCAGCCTGTCTCGAGGAGCAGAGGTCACGGGGGTGGGCTGCTGGGCCAAACATGAAAAAAGAAGAATGAAGAATAAGTAATTTTGTTCTCGCATAATTGAGCCTGCTTAACTTTAATATGAATATAATACATAACTATGTTTAGTACCAGATACAAAAAAATAGGGTTGTAATATTAGTATTTGTATACACAATTAACCCATAGAACGAGAAATTATTTCAAGTTTTCATAATTAAAAAAAAAAATCTGAAGACTACGAAAACTTATAGAGGGTAATTAGAAATTACTATTACAGCTATATACTCCAACCCATTTTGTATGAAGGGACTTTATCTAAGCCTACAATAGAAGAGAGCAAGAAATACTCTACAGAGCTGTAAAGAAATTACTACTTTCTTACAATCTCCACTCTACACATCATCTACCAACTGAGGATGTAGATACAAAGAGTGTTAGTTAGCAGGTTTACGAAACAAGTTTTGAACACCTTTTGAAATGTAGGTATTGACCAATAATTGTATTGTTGTAATATACAAGTAATATTGCAATTGCAGAAGAAAACAAGTGTAAATTTCATATTGTTAATTTTGAAATATATTCAATTAATTTTATTTCTTTTAAGTTCTACAAAGAAGTATAGCATGCATGCATTATTTTAAAATTTTACATATTGTTGTATTCAAATGTGACAATTTTTTAAATTCATATTTTTTTAGCGGAACGTGATGACAGCTTCTGGTTTGGTTTGCTGCTATAATTTTTACAGTAAATAATAAACATAAATGTAAAATGAAGGAATGATTTGAGTAAAAGGAACATGTAAATAATCAATAAAAGCATTTCTTAGGTTTTCTATTTATACTATATATGAATACCTCACAAACTGACTTCAATATGAAATAAGTTTTTATAAAGTAGTCTGTATTCATTGAATGGTTTGAAAGCATTGGACAATGACAATGATAATACACAAAGAGTATGACTTAATAATTAATAATAATTATAATAATATTGTATCCAAGGTTGATTATTATTTTTTATTTATTATTATTATTATTATTATTTTTATTTTTATTATTATTATTTTTATTATTATTATTATTATTTTTATTATTATTATTTTTATTTTTATTATTATTATTTTTATTATTATTATTTTTATTATTATTATTTTTATTATTATTATTATTTTTATTATTATTATTATTATTATTAACTTCACTATAATGAAAACATAAAGAAAAAACAGTAATATACCGTATATTATTATATTGTGCAAATTTATTTCCCATTATATGAAGCATGAATGTCCTTTTTATTATTGTTTGTTCACCAAGTGTAGTAAACAGATCAATTAACCATTTCTTTATTTAGCATTATGGTCATTTCAAAATCACAAATATTCATGGATTCATAAAATATCTCATGAATTTATTAGCATTTTCAACTGTGTCACTAAACATAACTACATAAATTTGATCGGCTGGTTTGTGCACTTAATGTGCTACAGTGAATTGGCTTGTAAAGAGTAGTAGTATATATGTGTATTATTTGAAAACATGGATGAAGAGTGCTGTTCAAAGTGTAATTGTAACAAAACCAAAGTTTGAAGTATTCCCATTCAAGAATTTTGTAATTTACACACACACACCTGGGTGACAGCAAGGCGTAAAGCAAATCTTGATGCACGGGACAGCTGCATTTCACTGTGCGTTGGACTCAAGCCAGCTGCCTGGAAAAATAAAAAAAGTATCTTCACTTCTTAGAAACATTATTACACTATTATAAATGTAAAAAACATTTAGTAATAAACAAAATTTTTTTGTGAAGAAATTGGAAGTAGATTTTTAAGAAAATTGACTGTTTCACTTTTTGTCATCAAAATATTATTTGAATGCTAATGGTTTCTTCTCTCATCATTAACAATGATAGAATACATAGAATTGAAAATGATTTTGTCAATGCTGTAAAGGAGTTAAGAGTGAGGAAGGAAAAAAAAGTTTTTCTTAAAAATGAAAGAATTTTTTCCTAATTATGGAGTATGTAAAAAGAGATATTTGATATATGGTTCAATGAGATAATTAAGAAGTCACAGCTACATTATTAAGCTTGAAATCAATCTTCACCCCTGTTTTGAAATTGAGCTACAACACCTACATCAATTGTTTAGATCAAAAAGTTTAAAACCAAATCGATATAGAGTTGAGACAATTTTCTATTCTTCCCTATCTCCATCTTTGTTTTGTGGTTAGGCATTATCAAATTTGGTAAATTCACTTCACAAAATTTAGGATGGTTATTTTGCGAGAGAATTCAAAGTACCATCTGAATTATTAGAAAAAAATAATTGCAATGTAAACAAAAGACAGAAAAATGTGCTATAAACAACTGTGAAATTAAGTGTGCCACAGGCAGTGCCAAGCTTTTTGTATTAGCCTGATACAATTATTTACATAGAAATCACTAATTGGTAGCTTAGTTTTTAAAGTAATGAGATAACATTTTTTTCCGCTTAAATATTTTACACAAGGAAACGCCAGTGTTCCAAAATTGCTCATTATACTCCATTACATTAAGGATCACATCGTAACATGACTAATTGTTCCAGTTGTATGGTTCTTAAAAAGAGCATGGTATTTTTAGTTATCTGCAGACAATTTCATCAAATAAGAGATTTTAACTGAATGGTTTGTTTACTTCAATTTGTGTACGGATCAGATCAGATAAAAAAACACAATCAATAATAAGCGTTTTTCTACTATTCCAATGTAATCAATCAGTCTAGAATATCCTGATTCTACAAGGATGAAGGAAAACACTATAATTGAGTATTGTTCTTCATAATCAATATTTCTTTAGTTAAAAATTGCTTATGTTCTTTATTAATTTGCATGTTTTATCAACACCTAGACTTTCTTTGAATCCTTTGTTCCACTAGGGCAATTCTATGGCATCTCTTGTGCAGTTAAGGGGAAGAAAGATCTAAAAAGTATTTAAGGAGGATATCAGTACAAACCCACACTCTCATAAATTTGTTGAAAATTTATCAGAACATCATTTTTTAGAATGTATTGCTTCTTGAAATGCTACCTGCATCAGGCTTAATGAGAACTCCCCTTTGTAATGTAATGCAGTGCAATGCAATCAAAATGAGAATTGTTTTTCATAAAAATTTAACTTAAAAAAATTAAATTATTAATTTAACGGAAAATCACAAAAATGCTGCAGAGTGAAAGAAGTGAAGTGGTCACAATTACAGGTTCTTTCTTATATATTCATTTGATCTATTTTTTTTAAGACTGCTCAGTAATCACTCTCTTTGTAATTGAGGTGAATTAATGATGCTCCAAGTTACAACCAGTCAGAAATCCAGAGCATTTAAACCAACATTATTAACATTTCTATTTTGCTATTCTAACTTCCAGGCAGTGAGTTCTAGTGTTATGCTAAGATCACGTCAATTGCAGGTATTCAAAGGTGGATTTACTGTGCACATTCAGAATTGATTTTTTTGACTTCATGGAGGAGGGGGAACTGCTAGAAAACATTAGATGATTCACATAGATGTATTAACATCGCATGGTTGTATTAAAATGATGCTGTAGACTTGTGCCAGAAAATGACAAATCTGTTAGATTACTGGTCATGCAAAAACCAAGCCTGGAGAGTATACTTTCACAAAATTTTTGTAGCTAAAAAAAATGAGTAACATCACATACAAGTCACTTTAGAGAACAGCAAACTACGCACTAATTTGCAGTTGTGTTGTACTTGTTCCCATCTGTATAAATAGAATATACATAATCTAGAGCTCAAATTTTTACTTTAACCACTTCTTTGCTTGGACATTTGTGTTCAGTTAAGTATTGGGAACCCCAGCTAGAGACAAGCAATTTGGTTAGCAGCATATTAAACAAACAAGTTTGGCAAGCAACCGTGGCCGATTAACCCCAATTTTATACCAAGTGTGAATCACATTGTGCAACGTTCCACCGCCGTTTCGCAATCTGCAGCGTCCGGCTCCTTCAGACTAAGAAAGTTCTACAGCGCGCAGACGTTAGTTCATAGCAAGACGGGAGTGATTCCAACAAAATGTTGGGGCCCACACTTTCACGTAAGTGAGCCGGGAAACTTCTAAATACATTTTTTCTGACAATTTTAACAACTATTTTTCATCAATCCGGAGCTAGCATTAAACAATCAGTGTTGTCAGTCCTCTGTTAGTAACCACTATTCACCCGACCCCATGCATGAAGAATACTGAACGTGAGAAGGTTGAATTCAACGCAGACTCTACAGTCTGCTTCTTCCAACTTACTCTCAAAATACGTCTCTCCACTCTCTTGCGAGCCACGATATGTGAACGAGGCGATGATCGTCCCAAACTCTCATGGGTAAATACAGGTTTCCCCCGTTAGCGTGGCCCTCCTTAGGCCGCTTTGTGAGGGGGCGAGTGCCGGCTAGTGACTGGAGCGACGCGCAAAACGAAGGCAACTGAATGGGTCTGCGAAACGTCTTAAGACTACTACGATCTCGCTATCACACGAAGTGCCTCACCAGGAGAATCTGGCTGAAGGCGGCTAGCAAATCCTGCTAGGTCAGACGTGATAACACTTTATCCGAAGGCTCGGGAGGTCAGGGTTTGAACAAAAGCGCGAGAAATTCTGTTTTGGTTTAGTTTCGAGTTCATTGGTCATTAGTATTTAATTACTCCGGCTCATTGTACTTCGAAGAAATTTTGCTAAGATGTAAAAACTTTTCGGTTGCATCGTCGGCAATCAAACATTTCTTCACCCGAAAAGTGATTCGCACAACCGTGCCCTTACACATGCATTGAGATTCTCTCTCTCTCTCTCTCTCTCTCTCTC